GGTGGTGGGGAGGACTCAGAAGCTCCCAGAACTCAGAATTTCTATGCAAAAAACAATGACTCTAATTATGGATACAATGAGGAAATCAAGTTACCACAGGTCAACAGCCAGACAAAATTCATTTCTTATCCCCTTCTTTTTTTTTTTTTTTAAAGATGACCAGTAAGGGGATCTCAACCCTTAGCTTGGTGTTGTCAGCACCACGCTCAGCCAGTGAGCCAACCAGCCATCCCTATGTAGAACCCGTGGCCCTGGTGCCATCAGCACTGCACTCTCCTGAGCCACAGGCCAGCCCTCTTATCCCCTTCTTAACTGCTTATTTTGTTTGGTCTAGCCGGCTTAGACAAGACTTGATATTTCAGCCATGATAGGCCTTGGCTGGATCAATGTTTTGCTGACATCAGATGTGTCACCAGCAGATAAGCCCAGGCCACCGACCTTCCTCCTTTTGTATTTCACCCTTTGTAAGAACTCTTCAGAATTTAGCCTTCAAATACCCTTGCACATTTCAAACAGGGAAGGATACCCATTGTAGCAAAAGATATGAAACCACCTAAATATCTCCCAATTCATTTTTGGTGAAATTAATGTTACATTTAAGCAACTCAGTACTATATGCTATGGTTTGAGTGTCCCCTTCAAAACTCATGTTGAAACTTAGTTGCAACTGTAGCAGCATTGAGAGGTGAGGCCTTTTTTTTTTTTCCTTTTTGTCTTTTTTACTGACTGGTAACCGGATCGCAACCCTCAGTGTTGTGCCCGCACCGGGGACCAGCAACGGGATCGCAACCCTCGGTGTTGCGCCCGCACCGCGCTCAGCCAGTGAGTGGGAACTGGTCTCCACAAGGGATCTGAACCCTCGGCGGAGTGCCGCTATACTCCCAAGCGGCACACTCTCCAGTGCGCCATCGGGCCGTCCCGAGAGGTGAGGCCTTTGAGAAGTGATGAGGTCATCAGTACTCTGCCCTCAGAGTCCTTAGTTCCATTATTGCTGGAGTGTGTTGTTATAGCGAGCCTGGCTCCGTGTGGTTTTTCTTTCCCGTTTTTTTCTTTGGCAATGGGATGACGCACCACCAAGGCCCTCACCAGATGCCGGCCCCTCCACCTCTGACTTAGATTCCAGACTGTGAGCTAAATAAATCTCTCTTCTTTCTAAATCACCCAGTCTGTGGTGTTGAGTTAAAGCAACAGAACCAGACTAAGATACCACACAAAAAAAGAATTGTTTAAAAAGAATGAGGTGAATAGTTATGTGCTCATACAAAACAATGTCGAAGATGTATTTGCTGATGGGAAATGCATCAAAGCAAGATGCAGCTCCATGGTAAAATCTGTTCCATTCATGGCAGAAATAAGGGATACCACCAGTGCCTGCACAGGTGTGGATTATGCCTAGAAGATAAATAAGAAATAGGTGGGACTCTGTGCCGCTGGCGAAAGAAGGCAAGGGCTGGGGAGGTGGGTCATGGGGAAGGTCCTATTTTCACCATATACTCTCCTACCATTCAGCTTAAAAAAAAAAAACTACAGCCACCTATTATTTCTTCAAATGACCTCCCTGGGCCTCTGGCTCCTTGCCATGAACAGTGACTTGATCTCTCTCCCAGGCCTGTTGTGGGGCCCATGGAGTCAGCTCCCTGTGATGTGCAAGGTACTGAGTCGGCTGCAGATTTCACTGTCACAGAAGCAAGACAAGAACCAAGCTCACCCCTCAGCCCCACCTACACTCCCACTCGACAGTGACCCCAACACAGGCTGGGACAATGCAACAGTGATCATTCTGCCTCCTTCCTTGCTCTGAGAACTCAACAGTATTTATTAGGCTGCGTGGTGGATGCACGGGCATCCTTTATATTACTACCTACAATTTTCTGCATGACTGATTGTAGGGAAAATGGTCTGGGCCCCTCAGATGTTCAGAATCTTGTCGAGCATTTGATGTAAATATGCAGGTGCACCCAGGTGTTCCTCGGTTATTGTCTGATGTAATTGTGTATGTGCACCCAGGTGTCCTGGGTTATGGACTTAAGTATAAAGGATGAGTGGCTCTAATCTACAGGGCGCCCCTGCCCCAGGGGGGCCATGGGGAGGCCACCACTGCTGCTACCGGCTCTTGCTGCCAGTGTCCCCTGGGATGTCCCAAGAGGCCACTGCTGCTGCTGGAGACTATTGCTGTTGGCTGCTGATGCTGCTAAGGACTGAGCTCCTATTGTCTGCCAACAGCTCCCGGGACCTTTCCCAATTACCTAGCTTTTGGACCTGGACTGGCATGTGAGGGGTCTGGTGACCCAGCCTGGCATGTGAGGGGCCTGTGACCCAGACTGTACAACAGGTTTGAAGGGTCTGTGGGCCCTAATCCCTAGCCCAGACAATAGAAACGGAAAACTTAGTGTAACTAAAATAATGAAATGTCTTGGCTTCAGTTATGAATTGCTTTAG